AAGAGTTTAACATGAATGGTCTTAGTGTTTTGTTTTAGTCTTTCATTTTCAGATCTTAAGAGAACATGGTGATTTCGGACCTTTTGGAAATTTTGAAGCAAAGATTCCAGTGTTATGCTTGATGATCCAAAATCACTTGAGCTATAGGAAGAATAAGATGTTACCTCTACATCATTGAAGTGGTCATCTGCCATGAAGCATCTGAGTGAGCAATCTTCTTCATCAGTATCATTTGAATTCCTGATCTAGCTGCTAACCTCCTCAGTATCCTGCCAAGTTCCCAGGCAGAGTAGTGCTTCTTCTAAGCTTTCAGATGAAGAGCTCTCATCACTCGAACTGCTTTCCTCATCACTCTGAGAGTCTTCCTTCTTCTTCTCACTCACAAAAGCTTGACGTTTACCTTTGAAGTCTTTGTATCCAGCCTTTTGAGCAGTAGTCTGCTGCCCTTGATATTTGTGTGCCAATGGAAGAGGGCACTCATTCTTGTAATGTCCTGGTTGTCTACAGTTGTAGCATAGGACAGTGTTCTCACCTGATTGGGGTCTTCCTTGTCTTCTGAAAGGCTGAGTGTATGGATTCTTTGAGGCAGATCCCTCCTTCTTCATGAATCTTTTAAACTTCCTCACAAACATTGCAAATTGTTCATCAGTGAGGAGGTTGTTGAGTGATTTCTCAGTAGATTTTGATGTGCTTGGTACAGACACTAAAGCTAGTGTCTTGATTTCTTTTTCTTTTTCCTCCTTGATTTCCTTCATCTCAAACTCATAAGCTTTAAGATCACTAAAAAGCTTATCTGTTGAGATACTTCTAAGAGCTCTGCTATCTCTCATGGTAGTAACCTTCACATCCCACTTTGAGGGCAGTCCTCTCAAAACCTTAAGGGAAATTTCCTTTTGGGAGAGAACTTTCCCTAGGTCAGAGACATCTGCTATAATTTTCAGAAATTTAGACTCCATTTCATGGACAGATTCATTTGGCAACATTTTGAAGTCTTCAAACCTCTTGTGAGCAATAGTTAGCTTGTTGTCCTTTTCTTGCTCATCTCCTGCTCCAATCTTTGTTAGTTCATCTCAGACATCCTTAGCAGTTTCACATTTCTTTATTCTAGGAAATATGGATTCATCTACTGCTTTAAAGAGGATGTCTCTAGCAACATTGTCAAGATTATTTCTTTTCCTGTCTTCAGTTGTCCATTCCATTTTGGGTTTTTGAATGTACACATCATCTGCCCCTTCTGCGGTTCTGGATGTGATGATCTTCATAATTTTGATTTTGATAGGTCCATCAGTAATTACTTCCAGCATTTCATCATGTAGAGCACAGAGATGTGCCTTCATCCTGATTTTCCAGTCATCAAACTTGTCAAAATTGAACAAGAGATTCTTGGAAAGCTGATTGCCCATTTCTAGAAAGTTTTAGAAGTTGAGTGGGTTTGGATCTTTTAGTTCAAAATAGTCAGAAACTGACTCTAGGAACACACTGCTCTGATACCACTTGATGGTCCCTGATAGAGGTAAAAGTCTAGAGTGGGGGGGGGGGGGGGGGGGTGAATAGGCTTTTAAAGCTTTTTCAACTTTAAAAACTTTTCCCTACTAGATATGATGATCAATAACCTTTTAGGAGATTAAAGATACACAGCGGAAGTCTTGACCTCTACGTAAACAGTGTATGGCAACTTTCTATTTGAAGTATGTGGATAAGGGAGAAGTCTGGAGGACAGTCAGATAAGTTTCATGTTATCAAAGAAACTCAAGTAGAGTATTTGGGTGAGATTTAAACTTATCTGGAAAGGCAGTAGTCTTGGTAGTTGTGTAAGTAGTCGACTGAGCAGTAGGGTATCTCCCAGAGTACTGCTGAGACTACTGCTTAGTAAAAGTTATGATTTTCAGACTTCTGATTGAACTGGGATATTTATGAAGAGTGAATAAGGCTTTGTGATATTTGGATGCCTTTAAGAGAGTGTATAAAAGGGCAGTGGGCTAAGCAGTGGGGTAAGTAGTAGATTACTGCCGAGGTGACTGCTAAAGCAACTGCTTAGTTTAAGAAGTGTTTGGTGTGTGCTTTGTTGACTGAAAGTAAATCAACACACGATGTATCCCGATTCAGAGGTGGTGTAATCCTCCTACATCCAGTCCCACCCTCTTTCAGATCGATCCCCTTATCATTTTCACACTGATTTCAGAACCTGTTTGGGTTTCAAATTGTCCGTAACCTTTTTCTACCATGATCTGCATTGATGTACGGAGGGATGCGATTTCCGCATGGAGGGAGGTGCGTGCTCTAATGCTGAAAGAAGTGGCATGTACCTGATTTCCAGAACTGTCACGAAGGATTCCACCACCCGCTGCCTTTCTTCCAGTAAATGAAGCGTCAGAGTTGAGGGCAAGGTCTTTAGTATCTTCTGTGTGCCACCTTATGTGATGCTTGGAAATTATTGTTTTAGTTTTGATGTATGGTACCAACCCATCTGAGTGAAGGTTTGGATCAAACTGAAATCCCTTTTTGGTAGCATTACTGTAAACCCAGTCTCTGGTGTATGTTTTAATTGCTGCAATGGTGATTTTTTTGGAGAATTTTTTGTTGTCCCACACGCATACGTTGAATGCTTTCCATACGTTCCATAAGATTATGCCTGGCATTGCTTGTCGGATGATGTGTTGAATTGTAGGACTTCTGCCACCTAGCCACCATAAGATCATAGTCTGTCTTAAATCTTCATGGTCAGTCCACCTTACCTGCAAAATAGAAGCAAAATAGACCCAAATAGGTCGAATTAGAGGGCAACTGAACAGGAAGTGGTTCATACTCTCTTGATGTTTGCAGCAGAAGGGGCATCCCGTTGCAAGGCTTATTTGGAATCGGTATAGGTTTTCTGGGAAGGGTAGGAAGTGGTTTATGACTTTCCATAAAAAGATTTTAAGCTTGAGTTGAAGCCTAGAGGTCCAGATGTGTGATGAGCTGAAGGTAATGGGGTAGTGTTCGCGGGTGATATTGTATGCACTGGTTGTTGAAAAGTTTCTGTCCTTTTCTGGCTTCCATAGAGGGGCACCATCATTTAGTTGAATAAGGTCACTGTGTTTGTTTTCAATTTTGCGCAACAGTTTCCAAATTGCAGTGTCAGTAGGTTTAGAGAGCATCTGATTTGACCTTGAGTATCTATCATGCATATACCTAGACCAAGTTGTCTTGTTGTTTTTGTACTGCCACCACATTTTGAAGTGTTGAGCCTCATGTATGTGTGTGAGGGATATGATATTCAAACCCCCTTCCTCCCCTGGTGTACAAAGTGATTCCCATTTCTTCCAGTGATGGTGATGTCTGTTATTACTTGATCCCCAGAAAAATTTTGCCATTATTCGATTGAGAATTTGAATGACCTTAACTGGGAATTTTGTAATAGCTAGATGATGCAAAGGAATAGTTGTTAATACATGTTTGATCAAGATTAACCTGCCACTCTGATTAAGCTGCTTCTTATTCCAAGTTTGGAGTCTAGTTTCGAAATCCCTGATGATCTTGGAGCAGTGTTCAATCCGGGCTATCCCTTTGGCTTTGTTTGTAACCATTCACGTATAGTGTATAGTGTATACCGTGTATTCTGTATACCGTGTTCTAATTTAGGACTTAGTAAATTTGTGACTTCAACTTTTTGTATCAAATAAATTTGTACTGGTAGGATTTTAAATATCCTCTTAAGGTAGAAGAGAATTACCTTATTGCATTTTTAAATTCCAGTGCAATTTTATTCGTTACAAAAGTTGTACATTCCAATTTGTTACGTTTGTTCGGGTCCCGATTTCCAGGTCCCAAAATTTATCGGTTCGGTCTGATTTTCGTTTTTTCGGTTCAAAATGCTAGCCCTACACGTCACCGCTAGATACCATCTGTTGAAAATCTTGGGCCAAGGCCCCAGAACCCGAGTGGCCTCTTGTAGGGCTTTCACCCGTTATTGAGTCAAGTCGGGTCAATGCACGGAGCATGACGTCGGCCACCCCCGCCGGCTGCGGTCTGAGCGCTCACATTGGCTTTGGTTGAGCATCGCCCTCTGGTCGCCGAGGCTAGACAACTGGTTCTGGAGGTCACCTGGGTGCACTGACCCCCTGCCTTACACATGGTTGTTGGGGACACGCTGGCGGCCATAACGGCTGGATTCCGCGGTGTGGACTGAGACATGGTCACTGCGAGACGAGATTACGACCATCTTCGTGTGAGACTCCTACTAAAGCGATGTGAGAGACAATAGAGGCTCTTAATGAAAGCACCAATGTTGGACAAAAAATGAACGTTTATAGGCTTTTAGGAGAACTTCAATACACACTCAAGCATGAATTAAGATAGTAATACGAAAATGGAAAGTTGCAAAGGAGGTTTAGTTTCCACAGAAATAACATGTCTTTTATTTGAATCAGACTTGCCTTTTATAGGCGATTACAAATGGTAACAGCCAACCATATTAATGACTAATTTAATTAAAAATTAATACGAAATTCAATACATAATTAAATAGTGAATCTAATTTCTTGTCGTTACTCTTCTTGGCTGGCTGGTCGGATGCTTGAGCTTCCTCATGTTGGATTGGACGGCAGGCTCTCCGCCGAGCTGGAGACAGGTTCTTGGCTGGGCTGGAAGGTAGGATCCTGGTGAGGCTGGAAGGCAGACCTCTGATAGGCAGATCGTCTTGGGCTTCTGCTCCATTGGACTTCCGCTCCTTGATGGGTTTGATCGGTCGGGTCGGCTCAAACTTTGGGTTGCTGGGCCCACTGGTCCGGTTGGCCTAGGGAGATAATGAAACTGGGCTTGGGTCTGCTGGTCGGGCTAGTATGTGAGACAATGGGCCTGGGCTTGGGTCTATTGGTCCAGGTCGTGTGCCTGAACTTATGAGTGCAAGTTTGGGACTGGGCCGATTAGGCTCTGGGCCGATTAGGCTCTGGGCCTAATTCCATAACCTCATTAATATTTAAGATATATTTTATTAATAAAATAAAGAAAAATTAATATGAAAAAACAGATAAAATGAAAAAAATTAACGAATGCGTTGAGAACTCGAACAATCCCTCTTGCTATCCTGCAGCCCGTTAACTACGCCACTGCACTGGCCTGTCATATCCGTGGCCGGCGGCCTTATTTCACTGGTAAATTGGAAAACCTCAGCTAACAAGGAGAAGCGCTCTCAACAACATAAGAAACCATGTTAGTTTCCCACACTTGGTCGGTGTCAAATTTCTTCCTGCTTTTGTAATACAGTGATATTACCAGAGTTTGTTCCGGTAATATGTTTCCGTAGATCTATTGCTTGGATTTCTGTAACTTTTCAATCAAGTGTTCTAGGAAGAGTATCACCATATGTTGTTAAATTTTATCCCGTAACTTTTATCTTGAAAAAATGTTCTTTTTCAAAATTTCACCTCGAATTTTCGGAATGTTATCTCTATCTCATTATATAGTATTCTATCTCGTGCTTTCTCCAATGGCAGCTTCTTCAATTGATTCTCTAATGTCAATCTGGGTGCCGGTTCATATATTCAAAAACCCTTGTTTTATATTCGGGCGTCGAAGCAGATTTACCTGCCGCCTTGACCCCAGACTCCACATCCATGGCTTTGTAGACTCGTTTGCTATTAAGAGGCTCGTGTCCTTCACTACAGTGCCCTTCCATCAGATTCAGGCATGCAAACCCGGAGATGATACAGTTATGTCTGCCAATGTTAATTATGGTGGCAAACAGGTCGTAAGCGTTACTCCGCAGCTCTATAGTTATGCTCTCTCTAATGTTAGAGAACCAGAGGTGATTACTAATTAGCTAACTACACTCATAAATTAGTATAAGATTGTTGTGAAAGTTGACTCCTCCCTATTGAGAGAGTTGTGAAACTTTTGTAGTTATGTACCAGAGCTTTCTGGTGAGGGAGCTTTGAATCCAAGGATGGCTCATTAATTGCGAGAGAGTGTGAGCCTCCTCAGGAGATAAAAGTGAAATAAATTCAAGGAAGGCCTCCAAATAAGTGAAAGTTATAGCTTTCTTCAAAGAGTAGTGAATCCAAGAAGACTTATGTGGAAGTGAGTCCATGTAGAGCTACTCATGTACCTATGAAATCCCTCATCTTGTACATTTCACTCTAATACAAAGTCAGCTTTTTCTGTCAATGTGTCAGTGACTCAGTGCTGTGTGTGTGAGAGTAAACTTTACAAGAGCTTGTATGAGCAGCTCGTGAATCAAGAGATGTTGATTTTGCCTATATAGATTATCTTTCATTGACAGTTTCCATGTACCAATTAGGTTCTTCGTATAAAAGTGAATCACTTTTGTACGAGAGTTTTCTGGTGAGAGAGTAGTTGTGAATCCAAGGATGGCTCATTAATTGTGGGAGAGTGTGAGCATCCTCAGGAGATAAAAGTGAAGTAAATTCAAGGAAGGCCTCTAAATAAGTGAAAATGATAGCCTTCTTCAAAGAGTAGTGAATCCAAGAAGACTTATGTGGAAGCGAGTCCATGTAGAGCTACTCACGTACCTGTGAAATCCTTCATCTTGTACATTTCACCCTAATACAAAGTCAGCTTTCTCCGTCTTTGTGTCAGTGCTGTGTGTGTGAGAGTAAACTTTACAAGAGCTTGTATGAGCAGCTTGTGAATCACGAGATGCTGATTTTACCCATAGAGATTATTTTTCATTGACAGTTGCCATATGCCAATTAGGTTTATTGTATTGCTTTCAGATTCTGCGTGAACTTAGAGAGGAGACTGCCACAATGCAGGGCAGTCAAATGCAAGTAAGTGTTGTATCACATTTAGTTGATCATTCCCCCTTTCTCTTTTGTTGCACTATGGAAAAGTTTGCCTTTACATAGCAAAGAAGTAAATGGATTTCTTGTTTTCTGATTTGTGAAATGGATTTGTTCCGATTAATAATATTTTTTGTTTGTTTTTGGTTTTACCTATAGGTATCCCCTGATCAAGCACAACTACTAGCAATGCTTGTCCAGGTCCAGGGAGCAAAAAGGTGCATTGAAGTTGGCATCTTTACTGTATGTGCACTCAAAAACCATTTAGTTAAATCCTTGACCACTATTTTTCTTGATGAATGATTTTTCAATGTTCTTGCATTTTTTATATGAATTAAAAGAACTTTTGATTTCATTTGTAGGGTTATATTGATGTGGCTGTTTTTTAGAATGGATATTTAGTGATTCTATACGCTAATTTCCTTAGGCTACAATCTACATAGCTGGTTAATTGATATTTGAGGCTTGATGATAAGGACCAAATGCTAAATTTGTGGACACTGTACTGTCCTGATAATCTTTCTCTGTTTTATAAAGATGGAGAAGCTTGATTTATTTTGGAACATTTATCGCGCATTCTGTTGGATTTTTTTTCTTTCTAGGGATACTCTTTCTTGGCCGATTCATGTTAGCCGACCCCAAAATCTTTTGAGAATAAGGCTTGGATGTTGTTGTTGTAGGGATACTCTTCCTTGGCCGTTGCTTTAGTTCTTCCAGAGCACGGACATTTAGTTGCTTGTGAGAGAGATGAAAAATCAATAGAGGTTGCAAAGAGATATTATGTTCGTGCGGGTGTATCTAGCAAGGTGATTTTATATATTTATTTCAAATATGAGTGATTCAGCACTTTACAAAAACTCATTTTGTATAGGGGTGTCTGGAACCGATTCTGCTTCTGCTTCTTTTTTAAAGTAGAAGCAGAATCAGAATCAGTTTTCAGAAGCTGATCTCCCCCAGCTTCTAGAAAAACTGATTCTAGGAGTAAAATAGAGCATCAGAATCACTTCTGCACTTTTACCCAAACACTCCAACTTCTGCTTCTGCTCCCTGAAGGAGCAGAAGCAGTTTTAGAATTAGATCCAAACACCCCCTATGCAATCCATGTTATTTTAGATGAAGTTATTGCCAGTTTTTCATTTCCTTAGTAAACCAGGTAGTACTTAGTTATGTACTTTAACCAATCTTAACTTGAATTTTGTAATTGTTTGTTTCACATCATGTTTTTGGCAAAATGATCCAAATAAGTATAACTAATTAAAGGGGGCGTCCCCAATATGGATTCTGGGGGATTTTAATGGAGTTTAGAATTCCGTCAGAATTTAGGTGTCCCGAATTTGGATTTATGTGGAATCTATGAAAATAGTGGTGCTCTCAAATATTCCATGAATTTCTATTATTACTTATTTGGATGGATTTTAATGGATTTTGGTGGAATTCTACATACAAAACATTCTACCACAAATCTTGTAGGCACCCTTCAGGTTTCAAAATCCATAATTTTTTAAAATCTATCAAAGTCATAGTTGGGGACACCCCTATTAGTAAACTATATTTTCAAACATGGATAGAAATCTTTGTCAAGCCTTATTGGATTACACATGATGCTAGGTGGACGTGAGGCATGATATAGCAGCCAATACTCTACGGTCTATGATTCAGAATGGTGAGGGCTGCAGGTATTCTTACTTTAAAAGCCGAATTTTTATCCTGGAAAGCAGTTTGATCCTTTTCCATTGAAAATTAAATCACAAATCTCTGAAATGGTGATTTATTTTCAAGTCTTTTCAGGTGTTTTCTTGTTCACTTGGTTTTTTTCAAGACTAGTCATATCACCTATCTTGGAAATGGTGATTTATTTTCAAACTTCTGCTATATGCAGTTACTGCTTTGCTTTTATGGATGCTGATAAGAAAATGTATCACGGATAATTCAAGTTGCTACCAAAGTTGGTTATTACACAATCATCTTAATTTCATCGTGTGATCTCCTTATCAGCAAAATAAGCACTGACTTATTGCTGAAATGCATGATCTGACACCTTTGCTTTGAGAAAATTCAGCAGATTCAGCTAAATGAGTAATGAAACTTACCAAACAGCCACCAAGCCTATAAGTATTTATGCCCTTGTCAAAACCGAATTTTATTTTGGAAAACTGTTTGGTCCTTCTCCACTAAAGAATCGGAGAAAAAGTTGTTTAGTTTAGATATTTTCGTAACTCTCGAGACTTGATATTACTGTTCTTGGAAATGTTGATCTCTTTTCTACTATATGCAGTTACGACTTTGCTTTTATTGATGCTGATAAGAAAATGTATCAAGAATACTTCGAATTGCTACTAAAGTTGGTTAGTTTCACAATTATTTCATAATTCATTTTATGATTTGATTCACTGAGGCTCCGTGTGGTAGCCAAATGCAACTTATTCTGCTTATTAGCCAAATAAGCTTTTTACTTTTATTATTTGCTTAAATGAATGAACAAACCTTTCTAGAAAATTCAACAAATTCACCAAATAGTAGGGGTGGGCATAAAAATCCGTAACCGCGTAACCGTGGTAAACAACCGAAAAACCGGTGTTTTTATGGTTTACTGTACCGCGTTTTTAAAGACTTGTGGTACGGTTAACCAACCGAAATAATAAACGGTTCACGGTACGGTTATGTTATTAAAATTAAATACCGCCGGTTAACCGATAATGCAAAGTTAAAATATTATTCCAAATTTATATCACAGTCAGCCTTTAGCCGATAGTGTTTTGTCCATTTACTGGAAAGTAAATACAAAGCCATTTTATGTGACTAACGTGAGTCAGATGGTTATGCACAAGAATTGCTAAATGAATTAATAATTGAAAAGTACAAATGCACTCTTGTACGTATTAATTGCTAAACGAACAACAATAAGCAAGCCTCTGGATGGATCATTGTGTGGACTGTTTATTGTATACGGGAGGGCTGCTACCCAGTTTGCTTCTCCTCTCCGTATAAAGTATAAATGATGAAACCCAGGTTATTAGAGTCTCTTAACACGGACGGTTTTTTGGTTAACCGATTAATGGTTAACCTATATCACGGTTAATTATTACTCGGTTAACCATCATTCCGGTACGGTTAATGATATTATAAACATATAAACCGCAATCTCGGTTAACCATAAATTGGTTAACCAAAATACGGTTAACCAACCGTGCCCACCCCTACCAAATAGGCACTGAGCACAAGTATTATTGCACTTGAAATCATTGTGAAAAACTCACTAGGTAATTTTTTCTTTCTTTCTATGTTGGCATTAAAAGGTAAAGGTTGGAGGGGTCATAGTAGTGGACAATGTGCTTTGGCATGGGAGAGTTGCTGACCCATTGGTAAAACCGGTCCTTCTGATGATATAGACAGACATAATATTAACATTAACATCAGATCTATTTTAAGTTAGAATGATTTTGTTTTGTGTTTTTTTGAGTAGGCAAATGATGCTAAAACGGTAAGCATACGGAGTTTCAACCGAACCTTGTTTGAGGATAGCCGTGTAGATATCAGTATGGTATGGATGTTAGTGATACTCTCTCTCTATTCACAGCTTGCCCTTAGTTTCAAATGTTCCCGATCCGGCTTCAAGTGTATTTCTCTTCTTTCTTTTCAGGTGCCAATAGGCGATGGCATGACGATCTGCAGGAAAAGACAATTATTCTCCCCTTAAACTTGAGAGGAAGTTATCAATAAGGTTTTATGCCTTTTTTATGTAGGATGTAGGATTGTATGTGTATAATGTCATTCAAATTTTTAAAGACTATAAATATTACTCCGTATGTCTTTTTCACGAATATTACTAAGAAATAATTACATAAATATGACCAAAATAAAGATGGTTTACAAAAATATGACTAGTTACTAGAGTAGTAATGAAATCATAGTAATTCATGTTCAAGTTTTGAACTTAAGTTACTACAACACTACGTTGTAGTAATGAATAGTCATATTTATGTAAATAAATTTTATTTTAGTAATAAGTAGTTGTAATTACTTTATTATTTAAAGAAAATTACCCCCTCGTGCAAAGCCATTTTTGTTGATTTTCCCAGTGAAGTTTATTACTTGACCATCAATATACCTTAAAGTTTCAAAGCACTATTGACCAATTTGTTTTAATTACACAAAGTACTAACTGATAAAATAAAATAAAAACTGATAAAATAAGAAGAGTTTGTGCAGAGAAGAGTTTGTAAAGTTTAACTGATAAAATAAAAACTGTGGTTGAGATTTGTGCAGAGAGAAATTACATGAATCAAAAATTAAGTAACTAATTGGAAAAGTGATAAAATTATTGGAAGGGATAATTTTATCAAAGTAATAACGAACAAAAGGAAGTAATAATTTGATTCAAAGTAATAATGAATCAAATTGTTTTTTCAGAAATATTACTAAAATAAAACTTATTTACACAAATATGACTAATAGTTACTACAACATAGTGTCATGGTAACTTAGATTTAAAAGTTGAATACAAGTTAATGTGATTCGTTACTACTCTTGTCATTAGTCCCATTTTTGTAAACAATTTTGATTTTAGTCATAAATATATATTTTTTTCAATTTTTATTAGTATATAATTTAAAAAATATCATAGATGGATAGGATGACCGTAGAAGTTAAAATTTCAAATTTTCTTTAGGACACACATACAATGTTTTTACTTGGACTGTTTTCAGTCCTAGACTGGAACACACCAGACTTAAATAGTCCAGACTAGACCTGACTGCAATAGTTATAAAATACACAATTATCAGATATTTATCAGACCAATTCGGACCAGACCAAGCCAGACCAGATTTAAATAGACCAGACCAGAACACCAAATTTTAGTTCAAGTAAAAACATCCTAAATCATTAAAATCTGCCTAGATTGTTTGTGAGTTAAATGTGAATCATTGAAATTTTCATTTATTATTAAAGTATACAATATGAAATATTATTTAATGTCCTGACTTGTTTTTTTTTCTTTCTCCAATCAACCTTCCCTTATAATTTAAGTTCTTTCTTTAGTTTTTGCATTATAAAATCTATTAGGTATTAATGTTTTATTTTTCTATTTTTAGTTTTAAGATGAGTATTTATTAGTCTATTAAATATTGTGTTAATTATTTTATTATTGTGTGTTAATTACTAACTTAAGTTTTGTGGTATACTAAAATGAGTGTAGTGTTTTATGAGTATAGTGTTTTAGTTTTATGAGCATAATGTTTCAAATAAACGTGCACGAGCAAACATTATAAAAATAACACGATTAATTTTGTAATTGAAGAACAAAAAATTATAAATTATTTTTAAAATAAAATTATTATATTTATCGTTGTTTTATATAATTATAGTTTAGTAAATTGTTAGTAATGAATCTATTACATGTGCATATTATAGAAAAAAAGTTCATGTTATGCTCGAATGAGTATAACGATTTCAAGAATGTTTGAGCACATTAGAGAATTCAAATGAGTTTTTGACACCATCGATACTCATTTTGCAAGTTATGTATGTACATTTGGTACTGGTGTTATCTTCATTTTAAAATGACATATCAATGTATTTTCAAAAGTATAGTATTACATTAGATTCGCATATTGAGATTCATAAGAGTTACGTAGATTATAGATACAATTTAAGAAATTTTTACAAAAGAAAAATAAAGGAAAACTAAGAATAAGAAAGTGAATTAAAAGACATGGGACAGAGATCAGGATACTCAATTACATGATTCGAATGCTTAATATACGAAGCTTGATTCTTAATGTACTAATATGCTTGTAATTTCCGTTTGTATGTTTATGTTTGTAGTTAGTTTTGGTTGTTTAATACTTTGGAAATTACACACTTTTGATGTAATAGTATGTTTGTAAAATAGTTGTAATGTGTTTAGATTAGGTTTGTTCTGAGCTAAAACAGGTTTAGGATCAATCAAATGATCATTGGTGAGACCAAAAGATCATTGGTGAGACCAAAAGAGGAAGGAAGGTGCAAGAATACAAGACAAAAAAGGAAAGTTCCTGATTTTGACCTGTACCCGGTCGGGTATACCCTATAACTGATCGGGTACCTACTTGATTTTCAATCAGATCAATTCAGAAAACAAAGAGACATGCGGGGGAAGATTTGGTCACGATCAGTTGTTATACCTGATCGGGTATACCGACACACTCGATCGGGTATACCTTTAATTTTAACTCTGAAATCGATCGAGTATACCTCGAATCTGAGTTTTTACACATACCTGGTCGGGTATTGTGTATATACCCGATCGGGTACCCGAGCTGAATCCCCAAAAACCTATAAATACACCCCCTTTCCTTCACAATTGGGAACCAATTCCTATACACTTCTAAGCTCAGTCTAAATAAGTTCTTTCTTTATATTTTCATTATGTTTAGTCTCCAAATGAGGAGCTAAACTCTTCCATCTTGGTTTTGCTACTTTGAAGCTTAATGAATTGTAAGTTGTGAGTTATTTTCTTTAATCTTCTTCCTTGAATATTAATTAATTCTTATTCCTATTTCATATTAATATTTTGAGCATTACTTAAAGGATCAACTGGTTTTGTTTCATATATTAATTATTACTAGAATCGATCGATTAATACGCTTGTTATTAGTTCGGTCCTTTCACGGTAGTAAACTTAGGTTATTAATGCATGTGTCTCATGGTTAATAACCGAACTACCGAAAGGGAATTAATTATATTGATTAAACCGATAAACCGCTTATGTTGAGGTTATCAATCTCAATCGTTTTCATCTTGATTTTATTGCTACTATCGGGTTATTATACGCCGTGTGTTCTATATTGACTCGGTAGTAAGTTTTATTAATGAACGCATCTCGTTATTAATAACTACCCTCGATTAGTGGTGGACTCGGGTCGGGTGGTCCGACCCGGAACCGGAACCGGCCCGGTACTGTTTGGCCCAGCCCGATCTGGTGCCCCGGCCAGGGATCGGTCCGGGTAGGCCCGGCCCGAGGGGTTTTCCGGTGCGGGCTCGGGTCATTATTTTTATTTTATTTTTTCAATTTTTTTTTGAATTCGCGAGTTGGGCTGGGTATTTTGGGCCATTTTGGTTGGTTTGGGGGGTGGGGGGGGTCGGGGGGTTAAGTAGAAAAAGGAAAAAAAATTGAATTTGGCCCGAGGCCCGACCCGGGCTGGTTCCGGGCCTACCTTCCAACTTCTAAAGCTCGACCGGTTGGCTCGACCCGTGTCCATCACTACCCTCGATGAACTGGATATACTCCTCGATTGAGTATTCGAGAAGAAGATAGTTAAAGATACAACCGAGATCGACGAACATTTTATTAAGTGGATAAAAAAAATCAAGTCTTCATCTCTATTAAGTAAACCATATAAGTCTTTCATCTTAGTGTTTAAATATAATTAAAGTTTACCAAACAAACTAAAATCCCCCCTTTGTTATTAGTTACATAAAAGAAAAGTATTTCTTTCCTTGTGGATACGAACCTTACTTCAATATACTACACATATTTGTTGTATTGATTATTATTTTGAGTGCACACCACGACAAAATGCACGTCAAATTTGGCGCCGTTGCCGGGGAAAGGCAATAATTTTTCTTTTTCTTTTAATTCAAAAAAATAAAAAAAATAAAGAGTTCTTGTTTTTTCTATTTCTGAGCTTTGTGAAGTGTATGGTCAAATATCGTTCAATAAACGAAATCACTTATCAAGCAAACCCCGAAATAGAACAAGCTTTCGAGAGGTTGAGAAATTTATTTCCGCACTCACCTCAGAGGAATCCTCAAACGCTAGCTCTAGTTCTAGCGAATCTGAAGAGCCATTCCACATGGCTAACGAAACAAGAACCTTGAGGGAGCTCACAACTCCAAACTTGAATCAACAGCCGCTATGTATTACCTTCCCCACTCTTGATGTGGGTAATACATTTGAGCTCAAATTGGGGCTCATTCATCTACTTCCTTCCTTTCATGGCTTAAGAGGAGAGGATCCTAATAAACATATCTCGGAGTTCCATGGTGTTTGCACGAGCATGTGCCCCAATAGAGTCACCGAGGAGCAAATAAAGTTGAGGGCTTTTCCATTCTCCCTCAAAGATATATCTACCCCTAAAGTAAGAAGTTAGGCCTAACACAGAAGTACAAAACACCATGAAGTTAAGGACCTCGATTCAAGGTCATAGCATATTTCATGCTAGGTACTTCAAATTCTACTCAAGATAAAAACACTGTCAACTACTTAAGAACCTTAGATGGATAAAGTACTAATTGATTTCTCAAATAAATATTTTCCTCTAAACAAATGGAGCCTTATACATGTAAGAGGATTGATAAAGCACTAATTGATTTTTCATATGCTTGTAGAGGTACAAAATTGGCCATACAGGCGTATCAGTGGTTCTGGATCAATGTCAGCTCCCGGATTGCAATTGTATATTCAAGACCCCCTCGACCAAATTAGGCCTATTAAATTGTTGCAATTATTGTTGTTACTGTTGACATTCAATTGTATGAATTATGAATTTTATTGATATATAACTTATTTGTTTTGGAAATGTGATTTTGATTTCTGTTGTGAGATACTAATATTGTAGAGATGAATTTGGGTAGTATAACAAAACAAAAATAATACTTCGTATAAATTTTTAAACGTTTTCATTGCATTAATAACCCCACCTATTAAGAATTTTTAAAAAAATCTTTTTTTAAAAAAATAACCTATTTGCTGCGGTTCAGAACCACAACAATAAGTCAAAATTCATTTTTTAAAAAAATATCTATTTGCTGCGGTTCGAAACCGCAACAATAAGTTAAAATTCATTTTTTTAAATTGTT